AGCTAATCCTTAAATCTAAAATCTAAACCATCTAACTATAATGCTTGTCACAGTAAATACACATACATATTTTTAAATTTTAACAGTTAATAAATAATTTAAAAAAAAAACTATAAACAAGTGATAAGTCACACAGAGAAGAAACAATACAAGAACAAACTGTTGTAAAATATTAAAATCAATAATAACTAAATAACTACGGGGTCAGATCTTGACAGAAACATTAAGAAATAAGATAAAACATGAACAAACAGGACAGTAGTGCTCTGATAGGAAAATAAAATAAACACCCAGGACAGAGTGCCCCGCCCACGATAATTCTAAGCTGCAAAAGCTGGTTAAATTTATTAGGTTCAAAATAACAAGTCCAGAAATTCATTAACAGTATAGAATGCTTGGGTAAGTAAGATAATTTTTAACTTTTCTCGAAATAGAGTGATATCTGATATATCTTTCAAAGTTGCTGGAAGGTGATTATAAAGTTTTACACTCTAGTAAATGATAGAGTTCTGTACAAGAGAGGAATGTGGAATAGGAAGCGACAGATGATGACTTTGTCTCGTCAGATGGGTAGTTTGGCGTGCCGGAAAACAAGAGATATTCTTATGAATAAGGCTTACTGATTCGAGAATAAAAAGACATGGAAGAGTGAGGATCCTATACTTAACAAATAGTGGCCTACAGTGTTCCCGTGGTGAAACGCGAGCAATAAATCGGATTGCCCGTTTTTGTAGTTTAAACACTGATTCAAAAAGATACTGGCTGCAACATCCCCAAAATGGCAATCCATAAGTTAGGTGCGATTGTATCACAGCGAAATATACTGATTTAGCTATGGTGAACCCCAAGGTAGATGAGATTGATCGTATGCAGTAGCAGCCTGAAGATAGTTTTTTATTGAGAGCTATTATATGTGATTGGAATTTAAGATCAACATCCAAGTTAAGTCCAAGAAACTTTGTATTTTTCGAACTTTTAACGAAAAATTCGTCACATACAATTCGTTCGATGTTACATCGGAATGCTAGTATTTGGGTTTTGTTGAAGTTGAAAAGAAGTCCATTTGCATCGCACCACATTTTGACACTGTTTAGATCGTGGGATATTATTCTGATCAGCTCGTTAGGGTTGAAGTTGTGCCAAAGCACAGTCGCATGGTCCGCGAACGCTGCAAATTCTCCAGATATATTGATGAATAGGAGATCATTGATATATAGAAGAAATAGGATGGGTCCAAGAACTGAGCCTTGCGGGACTCCAAAAGTGATGTTCTGTTCAGAGGATAGTTTGCCATTCGTGGAGACACGCTGGCTGCGATGGAAAAGGTACGACCAAAACCATTCCAGAACCATGCTTCGGAAACCAAAGGCTTCTAGTTTCCCCAGTAATGTTCTGTGACTCACGCAATCAAAAGCCTTTGAAAAGTCACAGAACACTCCCGCAGTAGCATATCCATTGTTACAGTTCCTGAAAAGCGCCTCGATCACACGGAACATCGCATCATGCGTGTCCTTTTTTGGGAGAAATCCGAACTGGGCGGAATTGAAAACATTATGCAATGTCAGAAAACTCAACATTCGCTTTTTAAGTAATTTTTCTACTACTTTAGAGATTGTAGACAATAGTGAGTTGGGGCGGTAGTTAGATGAATTTTTTTTGTCACCACTTTTGTGGATTGGAACGATTGAGGCTTCTTTAAGACTAGTGGGAAACGTGCCATCAGAAAATGATGTATTTATCGCCTGTGCTAATATATTGGCTTGGTCTGGTAGTTCCCTAAGTATTTTTGTTGAAATGCCGTCTGAGCCAGCAGCAGTTTGGTTTTTGACCGTTCTAAGAATCATCTTTATTTCTTGTGTATCTGTAGGAAAGAAAACAAAGGAGTTTTGTACCCGTAAGCCTTCCAGGTAAATCATAGGATCAGTATCAGAATTAATGGTGGTGGTGAGATTGCTGGCAACCGAACAATAATAGTTGTTAAGTTCTTCTGGTTTTATATCAAGTTCAGTCGGTTTTGAGATATTTTTGCCAGTTATTTCTTTTACAACATTCCATGTTTTCCTAGATTTGTTGGTGGCATTATTAAGTCGACTTGAGTAAAAGAGGTATTTAGCTGTTTTGATGAGTTTTTTGTAGACTTGACGAAATCTTAGGTAGTAGGCAGTTATAAATGGATTGTCATGAAAGTGTCTCCTCAATATATTTAGAGAATGAAGATTGGCTGCAGATGTTTTTAGACCTTGAGTCATCCAGTGTTTTTGGTTCAATCTTTTACGAAGTGGTCTTAAAGGAAAAGTTATATTAATGATGCCAGTTAGAAGAAGGTGGAACTCTTGTAGTGGGTCACATTTTAGAAGTATGGGTTGCCAGTTAGTACTATTACAGCTACTTTTAAATTTTAGAAAGTTTCTTTTGCTAAATATCCTACCTTGTTTCTTGGAGTTATTACATGGCTTTAACTGCAAGGGGAGTTTGGCTATTATAGCGTGGTGGTCAGAGAGATCTGCATCTATCACATCGCACTCAAGGTCAGTGTTAAAATTTGAACATAGGTAATCAATAGTAGTAGAGGTAGAATTAGTTGTTCTTGTTGGATTTTTTATATGCATATGGAGGTTGAAACTTTCGAGCAGATTAATTAACAGAATGGTTGAATGTTCCTCAGGTTTAAAATAATCTATGTTTAAGTCCCCTGCAACTATCAGTTTCGATTTAGGTGGAATATTAGATAAAAGAAGCTCAAAATTGTCGATAAAACATACGATGCTAGTATTTGGGGAACGGTATAAGGATAAGATATATGTATTGAGGGAACGAGAAAAAAGCATTGAGAACTCGAAAGTTTTTCAGAGATAAGGAAGTTGAATTTATCGCAGTTAGAAAAATCTGAGTTTGACAAGAATACCGTGCTCACAAGAATAGTTGTACCCCCATTGTTAAAGTTCGAGCGACAGAATTTGGACATAATGTATCTTAGATTTTTATAAACTATCATTTGACACCAACTTTGAATTTAATCTGATTTAATCTATGATTAAAAATTGCAGTTAAATTTAATCTCCGGGTAAATTCAAAGTTGGTGTCAAATGATAGTTTATGAAAATCTAAGATAGGAATGTAAAATCGATTTTCCTCTAAAATTAACCGTTTAGGTTTTACAGCCTGTACAATGTTGCAAAAAGTCAATTTTCAACTGTCAATATTTCCGGAACAGTTGAAGATAGGTATAGGTTATGTTTCACGAAAAATACTTAAAATTTTATCAGAAATCCGAAATTGTAAAAAAAATTAGGGGTTTCCATTTAAAAAAATTAAGTTGCTACCTGTCCAGCTTTTCTGCGACCACCCTGTATAATAATTTTATTTTATAAAAAATCCTCGACAAAAAATAAAATTGACGTGTTCGAGGATTTTGAAAAAAAATTGCTTGGAAGAATAATTATTGAATTTATTCCTTACTTATACTCTTGAAGGTGACAAGCTCGCCTGACGGCTCGCTAGTCATTTCCTTCAATCACCAGTAAAAACTGTTTTACCTGGCTAATAATGTAAAATACTATATCTTGCATTTCCTAAGCAAATACTTACTTCGCATTGAATAAAAGTGAGTATTAGCTTTAACTAAAAAATTAATTAGTAAAAGCTACAGTTTTTAGCATTGTCTTTAAATGGTGTGAATAAAAGTAAGCAATTGCTAATTATATGAAGGAAAAGCTTACATTTTTGCAAGCGTGGTAAACCTTGGCATAACATTTTTAAAAGTTTGGCAGAAATGGCTGCGTTTATGAATATAAGGTCTGCGAAATTTTATTCCGAATTTAAGGTTGGCTGAAGATTTTTCAGGAACCTTCTCCTCCAAAAAATTACTTATAGAATTTTCTGAACCACTATTCATTTTCACCTTGAAGCGCTGGCCTTGGATACCACTACTTGTTCAAAAGGGGTACGTTCACCAGCACTCAACTGATGCCAACAGTTGAGTAGTTGGGGAAACAATGGCTACGTTCACCAGAACCAAAACGGATTGTAAACAGTTTACAAATACCAACAGATGTTGGGTAAACTCTTGGTTCTGCTGAAAGATTCAAATTTTCAATGATAGAACGTCACATTCTGAATGACAGGTCACTACACAAAACACAGTATTGAAAATTAAAAACACTCTGAAATTATGCCTGCAAAAATGGCGACCGTTTGCAAAACATGTTTGGTTTTAACACAAATTCAACGTAGCGTTCAGCAGAACAATCGCAAACCAATTACCAACGTTTGTATCTGGTGAACGCGGCTGGGTATGTTCACCAGTACTCAGCAACTAACTTGCAGTGTAAAGCAGTTGAGAACAGTTGAGATACAGCGAATGTAAACTTCCTGAACGCATAGTTGCGACTTATGACAAATGTCAATTCAATAAGTTGAGTCAGCGCTCAGCAAAAGCCGTTTTTTGTCAGCTGCTGTGGATTTCTCTAAGCGTTAAAAATTAGCGCTTACCATCTCAACTTATGCTTTAGACTTGCGCAGAAGTGTCATGCGTTCAGGAAATTCACATCCGCTGTATCCCAACTATCCTCAACTGGTCATGATTCTGCGCAAAGCCAAAAATTTGAGCGTAGAACCCGAAATTCGTATACAGAGTGGTTTTTAAATCGTTCATGGGGCAGTTTTTGACGTGTTGGAACAAACCTCATACCACATACCATTCCGGTTTATAAAAATATAAATATCGGCGTTATCAGTATAAAAACTCGCAAACACACTTTTTGAGAATGCCGTACCTACTTCACGAAATCTCCGTATTTTCAGTAAACGCTTCAAATATCTAGCTTTCGCTAATAAGTAAAAGGAAAAGGTTATTCACTTCGATTTTAGCAAATACTATTAGCAAAAGCTAAATCTACCTAGTAAAAGCTAAAGCTATCACTTAATACTAAAAGTAAAAGCTTAGTTTTTATTCACTCTGCCCAATGAGCTAACATCACCTTACGTCTCGCTATTGGCCAGGGCTCACGTCATTTTATCCTCCCATCTTGGAATATCGATTTATATTGACATATCCAGTGGCGGAGATTTGGTCATTGCTGATTTTCATGTACGAGTTGCAATACGATAACACTTGCAAAAAGTTCCGCACGCAGCTGGGTATTTTATGAATGAAATCAGCCATTTTTTTTACAACTGCATTCCCCTCTAAGCCTTTACCGTTGCCCGTAGACACAGACTCGCTGGGCAGACATTAGGTACATACTATATCACTACTGGACATAAGAGATTATTTATCTGAAAAATGGCAAATCTCTTCACAATGTAAACAAAAAGATTCATTTCTTGCAAAAAAAAATAAGAACAATATAGATCCAAATATATTAATCAATTCAGCATGCAACACAACAACGAAGGAGAATCGAAATTATGTAAAACAACAATATAAAAATACAATAAATATAACAAAATTTGAATAAGCATACAATATTTTTTTTTTTAAAAGTGATACATCAATAAAAAATTAATTAAATGAAAAAAGTACATGGCAATTAAATTTGCTACACACGTTCAATGAATTTTTTCAAAAATGTTTGTTCTAAATAAGTGTAGCCCTGAGAAACTTGCTTATGTGATTACAGTGGGTTCTTCCCTACCAGTGAATTTCTTAAGCTGGGCAATATCCAGACTAATATTGACTAGAGGCCTCAACATCACTTGGGCATCAGTCAAAACATCATCTTTTTCATAACATTCAATGTAAATTCTGACCGTTGCGCCACTACTGCCTGTTCCTGATAATCTGTAGATTAATCTGGAACCGTCTTCGAACAAGACACGAATTCCCTGAAAAATAAAAATTAGAATTTGTCCAAATATTTTTTTTTGCGAGGTGTACCTGATTTTTAGCAACCGAGTGATCAATTGGGTCTACATAAGAGAAATTGTCAGCATTGGCGACTTTGTAAGTTTTACAATTGGAAGCTAAAGTTTTACCAACAAAATCTTTGCTTACAATAAGATTTTCAAGGTGCTGCATCATGGCGTTGGCACCTTCAGTTTCAACTTCTTCATAATCATATCTGGAAATGCAAGATAAAGTAAGATAATTTTAACACAAAGCAATAGTGAGGAAGGTGAATTCTTCAAACAAAATTGATTGATAACTGCATTAAAGTTTATCATCATATTCTTACCGGCTAAAGTAATTTCTTCCATAAGTCTTCCAATGTTCCTTCAAAATATCCTCAACTCCCATATTTTTATGTTCAATCACGGACAGCCAAGCTAGGACTGCCCACAGACCATCCTTTTCTCTAATATGATCGGAACCAGTACCGAAACTTTCTTCACCGCAAAGACTTAGCCTTCCTGCATCCATTAAATTTCCAAAATATTTCCATCCAGTTGGAACTTCGAACATTTCTTTGCCCAATTTGGCAGCCACCCTGTCAACAGCTGCCGCAGTAGGCATAGATCTTGCGAACCCGTGCACACCGTTTTTCTTGAAATAAGGAATACAGTCCAAGTTGTTAGCTAACACAGCCAAGGAATCACTAGGAGTCACGAAGAAAGCGTTTTTGCCTAAAATCATGTTTCTATCGCCGTCGCCGTCAAAAGCAGCTCCAAAATCGTAGCTGGCATTTTCTTTTAGTTTGTCAACCAGATCTTTGGCGTAGGTCAGATTCGGATCTGGATGAATTTCTCCAAAGTTGTCAAGAGGCACTACACGGCGTACATTATTGTCTGGAGAAGCACCTAGTTCTTCCACAAATATGTTACGAACATAAACACCAGTAACTAAAAAAAAAATAATTTATATTAGCATTGTATTAAATAAATAAATAAAGCTTATTTGAAATTGAAATATTAGAAATTACAAGTATCTTCTTTAGGGGTTAACTATATAGCATAAAATAAATTAAAAATGCCAACCAAATAGTAAAATTCTCACCTCCATTCATCGAGTCCAACAAAATATTAAATGCAGGTCTTTTATCAGTTCCCCTAATCAACGCCCTGAGTTTGTTGAAATCGAAAATTTCCTTCATCAGCGCCACATAATTTTTGGTAGAATCGATTATTTCAACTGTAAACTCCCTACCATCAACCTAAAGGAGTTTGTAGGTTAAAACAAAATGTTTCACTAAAAACACATCCATAATTACATTGAATTTGCTAGTACCCAAAATATCAATCATCCTATCAGTTTCCAGAGTGGGTGTGGTTTTGTACTGAGTAATTTTAGTGGTGAGTTCGTAGATGTTGTTGGAGATTTGATCAGGAGCTGGACCACCATTTTCGATATTGTATTTGATGCCGAAATCGTGACGGATACCGCCAGGGTTGTGCGAAGCTGTTAAAACGATACCACCTGGAAGAATATCAATAGTTAGTAATATGCTTTTGTTTGTCAACTAAGATATTTGATGTAGAAATATATTACAGACATTTAGACAATTTATTAAATGGTCAACTCTAGTTCAGAAATCCCTGATAGGTATTTGATTTCAAAAAGATATTCATAACATTCGACAGCACTGTAATTAGTCTGTGAAAGAGTTATTGTGAGTTCCAGCATGTATAAGAGTGCTTTCAGAATACGTTTCAAATTGCATAAATAAGGTCGCGTTCACGTGATGTCTGTATGATTTCATCCTGCCTTGTGCAATTTTTTTCGTTCTGTATCAGGATACAAAAAAATCAAGAGGGGATTAGTGGGACGAAACTATAGGTAAAAATTAGTAAACCATGTGTACCGAAAAAAACCTTAAAAGCCACAAATAAAATTAACACTTAACTGATCTTACTTTAATCAATGTGGATTATAAATTCTTTATTGTTCCAAATATATATATGTCTGATGTCTATTTGGAGTAGGAACATCAATATACAAAAATATTGGCCTATATGCATAATCTGCACTATACTCAATGCCTTCGGTATAGTATTTCTCACGCTGATTCTATCCTTTGATTTTTTATTCTCCTGAAGATAACCCAGAGCTGAAAAGTAATCTGTTTCGATTTTTATCGGATAATACGCAGTCCGAATAAACTATGATTTATTTCTACATCAAATTACTATAAGTAAATTTGATCTTTTCGGATAGTTACCCAAAACTTTGTGTTGCCTAATTAAAGCTGAGACTGCTGGAGTGGAGAAAATACCAAGTTGGCCAATGATGAGTTTACTAACCTGAAATAAGAAAAAATATATATGTACTATTATTTAACACTATAATAATAAATGAACACTGTTGTACCTAGCATTTTTTTATTGATTTTTTCCGAGGGGTGGTTAACTCCCTAAAATATGTACACAGATTTCAAATCTTCATTGATTTTGTAGGATTTTGTATAGGATTCCTCGGAATTACAGTAAAAGATTTCATGAAATTTCTCGGAATTCCACTAAAATTTTATGTAATTCGACAAAAATTACTCAGAATTTCACTAAAATTTAATTCAATTCTTCGGAATTCCGCCGAAATTTCTCGTGGTTCCATGGAAATTCCACGGAAATTCTGTTCAATTCCAAGGAAATTCTTCGGATTCCATGTAATTTCACTGGAATTCCACAATAAGATTTCAAGGAATTCCATGTATGTAATTCGATGAGAATTCTCGGGATTTTACTCGACATTTCATCGAAATTTTATGTAAGTCGACGCAAAGTGAAATTATATATATTTTAATTTGATGGAAATTCTGCGAATATTTCATAATTTTTTTTTTTCGATCTCACTGAAATTTTCCAAGTTCCATAATTTTTTTAAAACTTTACTGAAATTCCCCAAAACTTCACCACTGAAATATCCTGGAATTTCATTGACATTTCCTGTAATTTCTTAGAAATTCCTCGGAACTTCACTAAAATTTTATGAGAATTTTTTAAATTTCACTGAAATTCTACGTTATTAGTCAAAATTTTTTCGAAATTCCAATGAAACTTCAAAATTTTTCCCAAAATTTTATTTATTTCCATAAGAATTTTTCGGAATTCCACTGAAATTCTCTTTCAATAGTCAGAAATTTCTGGGAATATTAATGAAACTTCAAGTAATTTCTTGAAAATTCACCGAAATATATTGAAATTTCATATCATCACATGGGAATTGCACCGAAATTCCAAGTTTTTAGCCAGAAATTCCTCGGAATTCCACTTGTGAAATTTTCTCCAATTTTTCGGAATTTCAATTTCATTAAAATGCCATGTTTTTAACTGGGAATTTCTTGGAATAAAAATAAAACTTCATGAAATTACATTAGGATTTTTCGGAATTTCACTGGAATTCCTTATGAAACGATAAGAGTTGTTCAAAATTCCACTTAAATTTCATGTAATTCCCTGACAATCCCTTGGAATTCCATGCAATTGCATCGGAGCTCCATATAATTCGACGAAAATTTTTCGGAAATCAAGTAATTTTTTGAAACTTTCCTAAAATTCTTCATGTAATTTAACAAGCACTGAAATTTCATGTTGGGAATTTCGTTGTAATTCAATGTAATTGTTTGTTGTTTAGTAGAATTCAGGATTTCATGTAATTCGATCGAATTTCCACTGAAATTTCATGTAATTTCTCGAAATTTTATGTATTTTCAGAGGAACTAAAATTTAATGTGAATTCTATGGAAATTTCCCATCACATTTCACACCATAAAATTCAATGGAATTCTTGGATTTTTTTTTTCTTCGGAATTCCACTAAAATTTCAAGTTATTCCATGGGAATTCCGCAAAAATTTTAGTCAACTGCATAGAAATTCCTTAGAATTTCACCAGAAGATTTTATGGAATTTCTCGAAATTCCATTCAAGTGATAAATTTGAATGGAAAAACGAAAATTCCTAGAAATTTTAATACAAGATTTCATAATAGTTTTCCGAATTTCATCATAAGGTTCTATAGAATTCCACCATAAAATTTACTTAATGGAATTCTTGAACAAAAATTCCTCGGAATTACCCTATGAAATTTCATGAAATTCTTCGGAATTGACTAAAATTTCAAAGGAATTCCGTGAAAATTTTAATTAATTCCATAGAAATTCCTTAACATTTACCAGAAGATTTTATGGACTTCTTAGACAAAATGTTTTCGGAATTACAGTATAGGATTTCTTGAAATTCCTCGGAATTCCACTAAAATTTCAATATCAAAATTCCATGAAAATTTCCATAATTTTTTTTTTTTACTGAAATTCCCCAAAATTTTACCACTGAAATATCCTGAATTTCATTGACATTTCATGTAATTTCTTAAAAATTCCTCGGAATTCACTAAAATTTTATGAGAATATTTTGAAATTCCACGTTTATAGCTGAAGATTTCTCGAAAGTCCAATGAAACCAAGGAATTTTTGAAAATTTCATTTATTTTCAATAGTAATATAACTAGCGCAATGGAAATTATTGATAATTTTTGGGAAATTTGCCCGAATGCATTTTTAGTTGAAAAAGAGCACGAGTACACGTAGTGCACGAGTGCCTTTTTCAGTTAAAAACGCATGAGTGCAAATTTGTCGAAAATTATAAATATATTTCCATTGCACGAGTTGTATTTAATGAGAGAATTTCATAAATCAAAAATTTTAATTTTTTGTCAAAAAATGTCAAAACACCAGTTTTCGCACCAGTTAGTATGCAATGATCTGATAATTTGCACTAGTGCAAATTATCGAATCTGATTGGTTCAAATCAACAATCAAAACATGTCAATTTATTGTTGGAATACCAGTTTTGACAGATGTATGAAATTCTCATAAGAATTTTTCGGAATTCCACTGAAATTCTCTTTTAATAGCCAGGAATTTCTGGGAGAATTTCATACATCTGTCAAAACTGATATTCCAACAATAAACTGATATGTTTTGATTGTTGATTTGAACCAATCAGATTGGAATTACGCGATAATTTGCACTAGTGCAAATTATCAGATAATTGCATAGTAGGTGCGAGAACTGGTGTTTAGACATTTTTTGACAAAAAATTTAAATTTTTGATTCATGGAATTCTCTCATAAAATGCAACTCGTGGAATGAAAATATATCTATAATTTTCGACAAATTTTCACTCATGCGTTTTTAACTGTGAAATGCATTCGGGCAAATCTCCCAAAAATTATCGAAAATTTCCAATGCACTCGTTATATTACTAAATATTGAATATTAATGAAACTTCAAGTAATTTCTTGAAAATTCACCAAAATATATTGAAATTTTATGTCATTACATGGGAATTTTTCGAAATGTCACCGAAATTCCATGTTTTTAGTCGGAAATTCCTCGGCATTCCACTTTCTGGAATTTTACTAAAATTCAGTAAGAACTGAAAATTTATGTTGGGAATTTCGGTCTAATTTCATGTAATTGTTTAGAATTTCTTTATGCAATTCATTTAGGATTTCGTATAATTCGATCGGTATTTCACTGAAATTTCATGTAATTCGAGAGGAACTAAAATTTAAGGTGAATTCTATGGAATCTCCGCAAAAATTTCACATGTAATTCCTTTTTCAGAACAACATAATTCTATCGAAACTCCTCGAAATTCCACTATATTATGGAATTTTGAGAGACTTTAACGGATTTTTAGGGATTCCAAAGGATTTTTGGGAATTTCAAAGGAAATATTTTTTAGGAATGTTAATGAATTTATGAGATTTTGCAAGATTTTTTTGGTTTTAATGAAATTTTGTAGGATTTTATGCAATTTCACGAGATTTTGTGGGCTTTTCTTAAATTTTTAAGGATTTTAAAGATTTGTAGGGATTTTGAGTAGATCTTATGAGATTTTATGGGATTTTGACCAACTTGTACACGGATTTTGACCAGTTAACAACCTCTCGAATTTTTCTGATAATTACAACTTCAAATTTTGATTCCGCCAAGTTATTTTCATCAGTTATGTTTGAAACAAGATTATATAAAAGGTGTGGATAAAGTGTTGTATCAGGCACTAGTGATTATTACATATAAGCATATAAGTCACTAGGAAAATAAACTTTTCCTGTTCGACTCAAATGTAACATAACTCAGTTGCTTAATAAATAACTCGAGTTTTTTGGATCTGGCCTGATCTTTATAATTTTTGGAATAAAATTACACTATTTAATTTTGAAGCTGTTCGACCTTCGACCATATTTATCCTCATGCAAAGTTTCGCCGTTTTTTGAGATATCGCCATTTTTAGATAATATTATGAATCCATGTATTTTAACACATAACTTGGGCTACATATTTTTTGTAGCAATTGAGAAAGGTTAACTTGTTGAATTGTTTACTACCAAAAGTTTTAGGACCAATTTAAATATTTCCCAAAAATATCTAAAAATGCTGATACATCGAAAACAACGAAACTTTGCATAAGCGTAAATATGATATATGACGAAAACATTCTATCGATGTACCAAACACCCTGTATTTTATTATGAGAATATTTTAGCAGCACACTGGATTTGTTTTATTTAATTTAAGAAAATTTTACTTTTAAAACAAACGTGTATATTTTTTTGTTGCTATTTTTAGATTGGCTTTGATAACGAGATGTAGATATTTTTACATTAATAAAGCTATTTTTGATTTGATTTGAACCTGTCAACTAAAAGAAAGAAAGTGTTTTCTAGGACTTAGAGCCAAAAATCAACTATAATATGAACCCAATTTAAGGTTTATTGCAAAATTACTAAAACGTGACGTTTGTCTAGTGCTTAAAACATTAAAAATCAACTGGAATATTAGATTATTGTATTTCATATCAAATAAACAACTTATATAACACGCCTAAAACGTTTTGTTTATAATTTTTATCAAATGAAAACAAATATTCAATAAAATGAGACGTATTTTGGTAAAACGTTGGCAAAGGTTATCAAAATTCAGAGACATAGTCACCATTAAATAAAATATTGAACTTAAAAATAAAATTATAAAATCGAGGTTAATCTGCAAATAGAAAAAAATCACTTAAAATTTACAATGGTGCGCCCATATATGTAAGCATAATAATTGGTAACAGCAAATGTAGTTTTTACTAAACTATTTTCAGTATTTTCCTTATGACACTCACTGAATACATAATTAGTGGTTTTCCTGAGAATTATTGGGTTAGATATTAATTTCTGTTGATTTACATAAGCAAATTTAATATGAACAAAAAGTATAATATAAGATATAAACCGAGACATAAACTGTATTTGAAAACATAAGAATATTGATTACCATTACCATAACGTATTTACCAATGTTATTTTTTGTTCTCCAGGCACAGAAATTTGTTTAAATATTCCAACTGTGCAAGAACACAATGTAAAAAGTATCCATAATTATGTATTTAGATATTGTATAATGTTTTTTCCTGTTGTTATTTTATTGTATTATAAGTTTCTTATGCCTAAATCATGATTTGAAATAACGTTAGTAGTGTATCTACTTACTTCGTTAGCAGATGCTATCCTAATAATAGTATTAATCGCAGGCTTGGAGAAATATCTTCCATCTCCGCCTACAACAAGAGTAGCTCCTTTCAGTTTGCATCCTAAAGCATCAAAAATGCACTGGATAAAGTTTTCCGTGTAGTTTTTTTCCATAAACACTTTGACTTTTTTCCTGAGACCACTAGTGCCTGGTTTCTGATCTTCGAAGGGCGTCGTTTGGACCACAACGGATTCTAGTTTCGGTACTGACATTTTGGTTTTTGTTCGAACTAAAATATAATTTCGAGATTAAGAAAATTTTGTGTATTTTTTTATAATTTTAACTATTTAGAAAAATTATTCAGGTTATGGATATCAAATAAGATGGATCTAACCTTTACAAGCTTAAATAATAAAGTGAATAGGAAGAACACAGCCAAGCTAAGTGATAAGTTTAGGTATCAATAAAAAAAGGTGATGGAATAGATGCTTTAATACTATACGAATCAATATTAAGAATTTCCATTTATGGTACGTGAATATTGTCATCAAGAAAACATGATCACCAAAAAAAATGTTGCTCTGTACAGGATTAAAATTTGGAAAAAAATTATTTCCCAAGTTAATATGATAATTCTTAGGAAATACACACACAGTATTGGTTTTCCATGTGATTCAGATTGTGATTCTTTTAAAAAATAATGATGAGAGCCTCTGGAAGACAATGAAATGCTCTGCTGCATTTAGCAAACTCTGAAAATTTCAGACTCATATTTGATTAAAAACAATGATAAGATAAATGATAAATGCCAATCAAAGTTTGCGAATATCTAATTAAAGATTTTACAATATTGTATTTTTATGAGTTGACACTTTTCAGTATTTACATACTTTATGATTTTGATTATGACCTGATATCATTTTGGATTTGTTCAATTAATTTATGATGTTATTTAAAGTATGCATTTAGCATTTACAATCCTAATCCAGAAATCATCTACATACTAGCAGTTACATAGATATATGAAAAAATAAAGAATATCGTCTAACTCCTAAGTACTTAATTATTACAATGAAGAACAAAATGTCAAATCTCACAATTCCAAAAAGATTTGACTTTCTGTTCTCCTTCATTGCAAAATGAACTCACATTTGTTATCACTTCAACTTAATTATTTCTAATAAAAGTACCTAAGTATTTATACAGGGTGTTCCTAAATATCATGTACAAACGGAAAGAAATTATTCTTTGGTTTATTTTATGAATAAAATTTCGAATAAACATAGGTTTGCAAACGCTTCGATTCCGATCTACAAGGTATTGAAATTTTAATGTATTCATCATATTGAAAATGAGCAAGAATATGGCGGCTAGAGTGTGGCTTATTTCTAGATTCTTATTGAAAATGAGCAAGAATATGGCGGCAGGACCTCTATTGTCGCCATTGTAGGTAGAAAGTGTTTATTGAGTCACTGTAGTTTCATCTAGCTAATTACAGATATTTGTTTTTAATTTTTTTCTCGATAAAGATCAGTGATACGAAAAAACTACAAGGGAACAAAAAGTTTCTAAATAAGGTAGAAAAATTATTGTGTTTTTTAGAATCTACCAGCGGCGCACCGCAAAAAGGCTCAGGGGCAGAAAAGGGGGCATTACCACTGAAAAAAACATCACCCTGTAGATTCTGGCAAACGTTTGACATGTGCAATCATTTAGCTCCTATTGTGTAACCTATATTCCAAATTTGAGCTAGATCCTCAAAAATTGCAGGAGCTATAAAGAAATAACTAAAAAAATATTGAAATTTTAACACCTTGTAGATCTGTAACGGAGCGTGTGCGAACCTATGTTTATTGGAAATTTCAGTCATAAAATAAACCAAAGAATCACCCCCTTCCGTTTGTACATGAAATTTAGGAACGCTCTGTATACCAGGTGCCCAAGAGATCACTTTCCGGCTGGCATTTTTTTTGCATCTACAAGTTTGGTTTCACCGGAAATGACCGAAACTTTTGATTTTCAAATAGCACACAAAGATAAAATTAAATTTGCATTTTTTTGAAAGTAAGTAAAGTATGTAGAGTGACTTCAGGATGATCATGGCACGCTCGCATGGCACACTAGATAGATAAAAAATTTGAAAACAGAATTTCAATGAAACTGGATTTAAAAGTGATGTATTAGGACGTAAAACTTGTCACAGATCCATTAAAATGGCGTTTCGTTAGAATATCAATGATATCAACCCTACCAAGTTTCGTTGATACCGATAAACAAATCAAAAAATGCCAGCCACAAAGTAGTCTTGTGGACATTGAAACGTTGTGTAAATGCCTTGTTTTGTTATACCTTTTGATGTGTTTTCTGCTTTCAAACTGTGCGCTATCCAAGAATTTTTTTTTATTTCAAACTTTTTTACACTAATACAGTGAGCACGTAAAGGTTAGACTTAAATCCTTAAGATATACAGGGTTGATATTTTCCACTTCGGACACGTGGTTTTTTGATTTTAGTGGCCGTTTTTTTGATGACTATTTCACCGGCAATAAATTCGGAATTCAGCTGACAATATTGCTACCTGGACAATACCAACAACATGGTATTTCAGCGACCATTTTTTGACATTGTCAAACTGATATTTTTAATTTGAAGTTTTTATTCATATTTTTGCATTCCATTTATTTTCAAAATCTTACGTGAAATAGTCATGACGAATACCACTCGAGAAAAAATTGTGTAGGCAAAATTGTTCTCAAGGTTTTATTCAAGTTTGCTGCTTTTCGGCAATTTCGCTCATGACAAAAACACAAGTTTTTTTATTTCATTTTCAAATTCTACGTTAAATTCTGAACTTATTTTATGTATCATGTCCTAAACCTATCTTCGACTGTTTCGGAAATATTGAAGTTGGATTTTTTTTTTCATCTTCGAGAAGCTGTAAAACCAAAACTGTTAATTTCAGAGCAAAACTGATCAAACATTCTTTCTTAGTTTTTCATAAACTATCATTTGACACCAACTTTGAACTTAATCCATGATGATAAATTCCAGTTAAACTAAACTTAAGCTTCATTTAAATTGATGTCAGATAATAGTTTAGTTTATGGAAATTTAAGACAAGAATGTATGATCGGTTTTGCTCTTAAATTAACCGTTTAGGTTTAACAGCCTGTCAAAGTTGCAAAAACGTCAATTTTCAGCTGTCAATATTTCCAAAACAGTTGAAAATAGGTACATATAGGACATGATGTCCAGAATTTAACATAGAATTGGAAAATGAAATTAAAAATTGGTGTTTTCATTTCAAAAAATAAAGTTAGCCGTCATATCTTGTTTTTGGGTCACAACAACAAATACATGATATTATTATTTTTAATTATTATTATTATTATTATTATGTTGACAATAGCAGGCGGTACAACCAATGAAGCTATCGTTTCTTCTTTAGATTTTCAGGTTATACTGAATTTGTTTACACACTGTAGTGGATCATCCTTTCTGAATTCTGTTTCAGCTCTACATCAATGCGATTTTTGAAGCTATTCGTGTTCAGGGCTGAAACAGTTTCCTGATGCAACGAGTTTCAAGAGTGCATCACACGCTCGATCATACGGTTCACAATAAAGTTTTTTCTGGGAAGTTTTGCCGACCTTTCTTTTTCAAGTTTCTCAGTGTGTCCTCGGAGGTGATTGTTACGATCCTGGTGGAAAAGATCTGTCACATGACACTGGTAATAGCCGCCAGTGATCTTGTAAGTCTCGATTAAATCGCCTCTATGCCATTATCATCAAAAAACGGACACTAAAATCAAAAATCGACGTGTCCGAGGTTTGCTGAAAAATATCAACTATGTATATTTTATTCCAACCTTTACGTGCTTACTGTATACAGGGTGGCTCATCGAAAACGGTACATCAAGGTTTACGGCTTTGTACGTAAAAATTTAAGAAAACCCTCGGACCCATCATATTCTTTTGTTTACAGGGGGACACGTTTCACTATTAATTTCATCTCTGTAACCTCAACCCCCTAGCGGGGGCGGCTACTAGCCTTATTTTTTTCAAATGGGAAGAAGTATGTTGTGATATATCTTTTTGAGGGGGATCAAATTCTCTTAAAAATGCTGCTTGGTTTTTTAAATATGAGCAACGCACCGTCGAGAAATTCTATTTGAAAAACATTAGAAGATTAGAAAATTTACAGAAATTAATAAGATAACAGGTGAAGTACCTACAGGTACCTACTTGAGGTACTTACTCAATAAAATTACATTTTCTAAAACGCAATTTCTCGACGGCGCGTAGCTCAAATTCAAAGAACGAAGCGTCATTTTAAAGAGAATTTAATGCTCTTTAAAAAGATGTATGACAACATATTACATCGGATTGTGAACAGGATATATGTAGCCCTTTCCATTTGAGAAAATAAGGGCAGTAGCCGCTCCCACTAGGGGTTTTGAAGTTACAGGGATGAAATTAATAGTAAAACGTGTCCTTCTGAAAACAAAAGTCTACGGGTTATTTTTCATTTTTACTTTCAGAGCCGTAAACCTTGCTGGAGTGTTTTCGATGGGCCACCCTGTATGTAGATTTCCTCTAAAAAAAAGCAAAATTCTACGAGTCCTTGGCTCATATGAATAAAACAGAAGCAAATGCTTTTGCTCAAGTTTTTAGACATAAACATATTCAGCTTTAATGCAGTAAAAACAGATGGAGGTAGAGTAATAGTATATTGTAGACCTAGGCGGTAAAGTGACATTTTTTGACCAATCACTCTACCGGCAAGGTTTACACTTTATTTTTCTTCCGACACCACATAATTGTAGCTAATAGCATGTTTTTTTGTATCCCTTCACTTTTTATTGGATTTGATTTAAGTGATTTTGACATCAATTTCAAGTTCAAACTTTTATAACGCCCTCGTTTTGTGACAAATATGTCTGTCACACTTGTTTGTCAATTTTTTGCAGAAATCTATATTAGATGGTAATTTTAATTTAAAAATTTAGTTCATGAATCACTTCTGCTCTTCTGCTACTAGAATTTTATTAGGTAGATAAATTAAAACAAACACAGCATTTTCTGAATCGAAATTTAATCAAAATCGCAGAAAAATATACTTTTTTTTAAATTTATTAAGTGGCGCCCTCTATTAGAAAAAGTGAAAAATAATTTTCTTGTCTAGCCATTTTCAAATGTTTTCCATGGCTAGCCTCAGAAACGCTTACTTTCTCGTCCCTATAGAGCAGTGGTTCCCAAACTGGGGGGCGCGCCCCCCTAGGGGGGCGTG